GAGGTACTAGTCTAATTAGACATTTATTTTGCTTGTATTTCCTTTGATTAGCAATCACTACATAAGGATTCATTATCCAACAACTACATCAAATATTGACTGATTATATTTACAAAATGTTATTTACAAAGTTAATCAGTAAATTCTGACTTTCAGCCTTTTTTCTCACAAATTACAACATTTTCAGTTTCTTGGCAGTACAGAAGTGGAGCAGCCCAAAGGTACAGAGGTTGTGAGAGATGCCGTAAGAAAACTGAAGGTAAGGAATAATCTTTTATGTAAATATTAAGAAAGTGCGTGCTTAATGTTTTCACAAAGAAGACTTATTTATAGCTAAATAAAGATATTTGAATACATTTTCGGCATCCCGGAAGCTATTACTTCTATTAACCTTCTTTTATTAGGATGTAAAGACTTCTCTATTATATACATATCATTTGATTGTTGATTCTTTCGCACAAACATTTAGGAGGTTGTCCCATGGGGAAATATTGTCATGAGGTGGGTGTGGAAGTGGCAAAACCACCTCTCCTGGTGACCACCTGGGCTCCACTGTGGGCCCCCTTTGGTCTTTCAGGATTCCACGTTATTATCTTTCCTGCCATGCTTTGTTGTTATAAATTGTCAGGGAGGCTGCCTCTAGAGGGCAAAGAGGGTTTTGGACGGTGGGCCCTTTTCTCTGTTGAGGCCTTCCTGGCCTTGTCCCACTTTATTCTGGCTGAGCCTCTCAGCCTAGGTCCACTTTCTTGGGACTACAAGCTCCTAGGCCCAAACTCTATCCATACCCCTGCACCTCTGGGCCCCCTGCATAGGCCCTCATGGGCACTAGGCTCATTGGCCCATGGTCTCGCCCTCATAAGTCCTGGGCTTGCATTCCCAGTCTTTGCTATGCCTCACCCCTTGTGGGGCTTGGGGTGCCTTGGCCCCTGGTCTCATCCTCATAAGTTCTGGGCTTGCACCTCAGTCTTTGCTATGCCTTATCCCTTGTGGGGCTCTGGGCTTCTGAGCCCCTGGCCTCACCTTTGCAAGTTCTGGGCTAGCACCCAAGCCTTTGCTGCCCAACATCAGAGTCCTTCCATCAATGACAGTGCCTAGGATCTGGGATGTCCTTAGGCACCCTTCTCAGTGGCCACCTCAGCCCATAAAGCCACAATCTGGTCCTCCAGTATAAATGAAAACCTCCAGGGGTTAATCTTGCCCTGCAGAAGCTCTTGTCCAAAGAGTCTGAGGTATTTATCTGCTCCCGGTTCAGGATGCAGGGTTTCCCCCACCTCTTCTGCAGCTCTGAATGCTTTCTCTGAGTTCCCCAGCCTAGCTTCTGCCTGGAGCTCTGTGCCCTGCACCTCCTACAGCCAGACTGCCCCTCTGGCTTGAGGCCTGTGCTTATATGTCCTTTCTTAGGTCACCTGACAATCCACATCTGCCCCATGCCTGTCAGTCACTACTTGCACCTAGGCTGAGTAGCCATTTTGTTTTGGGGCTCTCTGCCTGCATTAGCATGTCCCCAAAGTTGGGGAGGGCCAGTTAGCCCTGGACTGCCCCCCCCCATTACAAATATTAATAGTTGTAGATTAAAATACTACTTTCAGTAGTTCACTTTGATCTGTGAACATGAGATGACTAACCCTGAACTTCTCTATCTTCATAGTCTTCTGAAGCAGTGAGCTTGTCTCAACCCTTTGTCATATAGAGAAAGAGGTTCATACAGATACAGGAGGAGGTTCTGATTTGGAAATGGCTAAAGGTCTATGACTAACGTGTTTAGTACTAAGTCAACATTCAAGCTGGTGATGATGGAGGTTTTCAATGCTATTATGAAAGCTGTTCATATACAAGTTATTTCATAGACATCAGGGCTGGAAGGGACCTCGGAAGATCATCGAGTCCAGCCCCCCGCCCAAAGGGCAGGAAGTCAGCTGGGGTCATAGGATCCCAGCAAGATAAGCATCCAGTTTCATCTTGAAGGTGTTCAATGAAGGCGCTTGAACCACCTCCGGTGGCAGGCTGTTCCAGACCTTGGGGGCTCGGACAGTAAAGAAGTTCTTCCTTATGTCCAGCCTGAAACGATCTTGAAGTAGTTTGTGACCATTCGACCTTGTCATCCCTTGGGGCGCTCTGGTGAACAAACGTTCCCCCAGATGCTGGTGGTCACCCCTGATAAACTTGTAGGTGGCCATCAGATCACCCCTGAGCCTGCGCTTTTTCAGGCTAAAGAGCCCCAGGGCTCTCAGCCTGTCATCGTAGGGTCTGCTTCCCTGACCTCTGATCATGCGCGTGGCTCTTCTCTGGACTCTCTCAAGCTTCTCCACATCCTTTTTGAATTGTGGAGCCCAAAACTGGACACAGTACTCCAGCTGTGGCCTCACTAAGGCCGAGTACAGCGGGAGAATGACGTCCCGGGATTTGCTTGAGAAGCATCTATGGATGCAGAAACCAAAGCCTAGAAGTTATAGGCTTAGTTTTGGGGGCTTCACTTCACTTCACAGGATCATTTCCAAATATACAGCACACAAGAATGTTGAGCTAATACTATGGCTCAGTGATGCTTTGCCCCAAAGTTTGGTGTCATCGGCGAACTTGGCCAGTCCGCTTCTGACTCCAGTGTCCACATCATTAATGAAGATGTTGAACAGTATGGGTCCAAGGACAGAGCCTTGGGGGACCCCACTGGTCACAGGACACCACGATGAGTGACTTCCATCGATTACTACCCTCTGGGTCTGACCCCGGAGCCAATTTTCCAGCCAGCGGATCGTGGAGGACCCAAGGTGACAATTGGCCAGTTTCTCCAAGAGGCGATCATGGGACACCAGATCGAAGGCTTTTTTGAAGTCAAGATATATGACATCAATCTCTTCTCGCTTGTCCAGGTGATAGGTCCAGATACCCAGGTTATGGGTATCAGGAATAAGAGATGTCTTTTGGAGAACAGTGTTTTCTACTTCTGTTCACTTGATATTAATGTTAACCATGCGGGATATTTCTGCTTTGTCTATAGGGTGTGTTGGACCACAGAAGAAGGTTCATGCGCAGGAATATAGATAGCATTGTCAACATTCACAATATCACAGTTCTCAGAAAATTGGGCATTTACATGCTTGAACACATTTGGACTTGGTCCTTTCTCAGTGATAATTTCATAAAATGGATGTAATTTTTAGGGTTGTTGATTGTAGCTGTGTTGGTCTAAGGACATAGGCAGACAAGGTTCTTTGGGTAAATGTGATATCTTTTTATTTAATTTTTATTGAAATAAAATTCAAATGTAAATTTAAATAAAAGCTATCACATTTACCCAAAGAACCTTCTCTGCCTATGCGCTTAGACCAACATAGCTACAACCAACAGCCCTAAAAATGTCATCCATTTTATGAAACAATCATTGGGAATTTATTTATTATTTAAATAAATGATCATTTGGAAGGCTGGAGGCAAGATGGCACTGCCTCCAAAATCATTTAGATACTGACATAGCAGATGCTGCATATGCTATTGTAGCTGTGCCCTATGCAGAGTCTATAAAGCTAGAGGCGATATTTTTCTAAGGAGTAGAACTTGGATACTGATGGATTTAACAGTCTATTCTCATAGCCAGAAAGCACTCCAAAACCTGCTCATGTGGTGAGATAAGGAAGATTAGAAAAAATTAGGAAGTAGTGTGTGCTCAAACTCATGCCACATATGACACCCTAATGAGTAGTCACCTGCTAAATCACATTTTTTTTCAGGTTAGCAACAGATAACAGACACTAATCCTCTGTAATCCATTTTTTTAATCTCTTGGGTGTAGTGGCTACCATGTTTGGGAAATTCTGTCACTGATGAATTGCATTGTGGTGGGTGGATGTAGCATCAATTTCTCTGCCAAATTACATATTGATTTAATTGTGCTTCTCTGTGCTAGCTATTTTGGTCTAATGGAGTATCAGTTGACTGCAGTGTGCATACTGCTTTGTCTGTTATTGAACTTTGCTAAAATATTTTTGCAGGGCTGCAGCTTTGTTTTTCTTTTACAATTCTGACAGAAGCAGTTTCAATACACAACTTTATTAAGCTCAAAACCATGAATAATATGAAAAGTACATAGTCAAACCAGCCAACCCCAAACAATAGATATTTCTTAAAGCATCGCAACAATATGAAAACTGAACCAATGAAAATAAATAGAATAAACAAAACTAAAATACTAATTAAACCAGGCAGAAGAGCAAACTGCTACATGAACTCTTAGATGGCATCCATCCTAAATTAAATTCTTCGCCAGCTTTGCACTCATTGACTGTCTACCAGGCAAGCCCTACATCTCCCCCCTTTAAACCAAAACACCCTTTAAAATAATTAAAATGGCAGAGATCCCTTATAGAGCTGTGACTCTTGCCAAAGGGGGGCATTCCCCCCTTTGGCATTCACTGCTTCACTGGTCAAGAAGTCCTCAGAGAAGTCCCACAGGACATTCACAAGAGGAGTATTCTGTTGGGCAGGGGGGCGGGGGGGCGGTCTTCAAAAGTTCCCTCTGGTCCAGATGCCTTAACAGCAATTAAATCCTGGGTAGCCTTGATGGTAGTCTCCTGGTCATGACAGAGGCAGATTGCTAGGGTATTGCCAGATCTCTTGTTTGCTTCCTTTCCACTTTTATTGGAAGTATCTCATGTACCTAATTCTGTCTCAGTGCTGCAACCTGGTACTACAAAAAGCTAGTTTAGCAAGCTACTACAAAAATGCATTGTTGTGGATGTAATGAATACTTTTGCTGAAATTGGGGTGCTTGCTCTATTCTTTCCAAATATTCACCAGGATGCAGCTGGGCTCCTCCAGGCAACTTGCTGTACATCAGGATGTCATGGTGAAGCTGGAAAAGCAGAGTACATTATTGTCCAGAGCAGGTAGAGCATGCTGCTGGCATTCTGCAAGGCAAATGAGGAATCAAATGTCAGGAGAGAGTTATACAGCCCAGCCCAGCCCAGCCCAGCCCAGCTTGTGGGTAGTAGAAGCAGGGGAAAGTGTGCAGAAACACAGTAAGACAAATCACCAGGGACTTTTTGGATTACTGGTAGAAGAATCCCTGAATTTGCACCCTGTAGGACTTGCCTATTTTACCATGTACTATAAACTATGCGTTTAAAGAGGCAGGAAACAGAAGCTGAGCCTGTGCTAGGCTCACCCCAGGACCCAAGTTCAGGAATTTTCAGTGGCAGTATGAACATAGTCAGACATGTGCCCAATTCTATCTGTGTGCAGATAAACACATCTCTCCTTCTT